GTTATATTTTCTTTGTTCACCTTTGACTGAGTTCCTGACTTACTGACCTTCCTGACCATGGTTAATCTCATGACTAACAACCCAAATTGGAAACTGTGCATTGAAATAACTGAAAGATAAACACTTCAGACTTCCCTCCTGCTCTGACTTTTTGGTTTTACACTTGTAAGTTAAAGGGAAACTCCAGTGCCAGGAAAACAATCCGTTTTCCTGGCACTGCACGTCCCCTCTCCCTCCCACCCCCCAATCCCCGGTTGCTGAAGGGGTGAAAACCCCTTCAGTAACTTACCAGAGGCAGCGATATGTCCCACGTCACTGCTTCTTCCTCCGCCGCGCTCCTCCTCTGTATTACATCAGCCGGTGGGCGAGACTGATCCTGCCCACCGGGAGCTTTTCAATGCTTTCCTATGGGAAATTGAGCGACGCTGGAGGTTCTCACACAGTGTGAGGACATCCAGCGACGCTCTAGCACAGCTGTGCTATGATGCAGGAAGTGCCCTCTAGTGGCTGTCTACTAGAGGTGGAGTTAGCCCTGCAAGGTAATTATTATAAAAAACTGCAATAATTACACTTGCAGGGTTAAGAGTAGTGGGAGTTGGCACCCAGACCACTCCAATGGGCAGAAGTGGTCTGGGTGTCTGGAGTGTCCCTTTAAGACCCAGAATTGTTTCACCATTCACACTTGGATTCTACTCCTTCCACTATTAAATTGTATTTTATACTGTTTAATTTCTACCAAATTTTCACTCTGAGCATTCCTAAGATACACACCATACTAGGCCCTGGGTATTGTCAGGGAAGGCGGTCCGGTGACCGGGACCCAGTATGCCTGATCTTGATAGTAGGAGTCACTGTGTGGAAATGGATTATCATGGCCTTGTGCAGGGTAACCGCATGCCCCCTGGTGTTGAGCACCAGTGTTTGTGCGGCCACATACCAGGGCCCTGATGCAGCTTCTGCGGATCTCAGGTGCCAGATGACAACAAGCAGACCTCCCAGGAGCTGAATAGGGAGGCTCTGCAGCAGATATGTATCCAGGACAGAAACAAGGTAAGACTACAATAGACACCAAACAAAAAAACAAGACAAAACTAGGAGAACCCAGAACCAGAGAAGGATAGAAAGCAAAACCCAGAAGATGTACACAATACATAAGGGAAACAAGAAAAGGACATGGACAAGGCAGGACATGACAGGACTGTACATGAACTGGGAATACAAAACAAAATAAAAACAGACAAGAGATAAAAGGCAAAACAAGAGGCGATATAACTAAGTACTATATATGTGAAACATTGGAGATTTAGCCATAAATAAATGGCCAATATGTATGCAGCCCACCACTGCGTCAAAGTACTCCAAATTACGGTGGGTCCTATCTACCTAGATAAGCATGACTAAATAAACAATAATAAAACACACACAGCACTTACATGCAAGAAAGGGGCAGAGGACTTGAGGCAACTGCCTACAGGAACCAACTGAAACAAAAGGATACATGGAAAAGGAAAGGGTGTGGCAACATAAAACAAACATTTAAAGGAATCCAAGAGACTGTGAATTCCAGGAACGGAATACAGGAATGAACCTAGAAAACCCAGCATTAAGAAAACCAGACATGAAATAGAGAACCAGAAAAACCAAGGAAAACTAAACAAGAATTGTAAAAAGAGTACTGGATATCAGAAGCCATTGCCAGAAATAATCTGCAGCCAGGAACAGGATGTGACATAACTCCCCTCCTAAGGAGCGACCTCCGGACGCTCCCAACAGCTCCCAGACAGAGACCAGGAAAGGAGCGAGGATCCTGCAACGAAGTCCTCTTGACTTCCCAGGGGCAAGGATCCCCTGCCGGAGAGGTCTCAAGCAAAGGAACCTCCAGCCACGAATAAAGATCCACTCCAGAAAAGGAGCACTGCCACAAAACAGGAATCAGAACCGGAACCAGGAATAATCCAGGCAGGACAGGATACAGACAGGGCAGGTCAGGAAAGCTGCAGAGTCCATTCCACGAACGCCATAAGGGCCTACAGCCATACTGTCAGGGGAGGTTATAGGAGCTCCCCTGCATAGACTATCTGAGCGCCGGCCCCGCTGTTTTCAATGACGGGCCAGTGAGGGAGATCTTGCATAGACACAACACACACACATACACACTTTACCCCTCTCACACACACATACGGCACCCTCACATACACACTACACCCCTCACACATACACACAGACCCCTCCAACACACTGCACCATACACACACAATACCAGACATATTATAATATATATATATATTTATATATATATATATATATATATATATATATATATAAATATAAATATAAATACACACACACTGCACTACTCACACACATACTACACCCCTAAACACATTACATTCCAGACACACACTAGATCCCTTAACCAACTCTGATTCATCTACACACATACACACACTAGATCCCTGTATACACTCTGAATCTGCTATATACACACACTCACTAGATCTCCTATAGACATTCTGGGTCCTTCAAACACACACTAGACTCTTATATACACACACACACACACACAAACACACACACACTGTTTTACCTACACACACACACTACATTCCTAACATATCTCTGGATCCCCTATACACACACTAGATTCCTTGTAAGTAAACACATACTACACCCCTAAACACACACTCTCTACAACCCCTACAAACACTACATCACCTATACACACACACACACACACAATAGCCCGTATGCACACACTTGCTACATGCCCTATACACACATTCTCTACAGCCCCTAGCCAGATATGCATTCCAATACACGACAAACACAAGACTAAAAGCGACCTTATTACACAATACCACACCACAATCAGCTCACTCTACACACAGGGCCGGTGCAAGGATTTTTGGGTACATAGGCGAAGATGTATTTTTCCACCCCCCCTCCAAAATAACATCTTCACCTATGTGCTTCTTAACCAGCCCCTCTCCACCGTCCATTAGTGGTCCCCTCCCTTCCCTGTCCCTTAGTGTTCTTCTAACCTCTCCCCTCTTTTCCCTGACCCTTGGTGTTTCTCTCCCCTCCCCTCCCTGTCCCTTGGTGCACCCCCCACCCCCTTAGTGGTCGCACTCCCCTTCCTGGTGTGCCTCCTACCTCTCTTGTAGCATTGCCGAGTGGAGGATATCCCCTACAGGAGCTTCAATTTTCTGTACCTGGCCGGACTGACAGGGAGTGCTTTCTCAGTGAGCACCTCCGGTCAGTCTGGCTGGGTACAGGAAACAGAAGCTCCTGTACTGCGCTCTGCCATGCTACACTCAGTGGTGTAGACACACTGACAGTCACACACACTCAATGACAAACACACAGACTCACTGATCTGACACACACTCATTCATTGACACACACACACTGATTGACACTCATTGACAGACACACTGATAGTCACACACAGACTCAATGACAAAGATACTCTCACTGATTTGACAGACACTCACATGCAACACTCTGACAGACACTCACAAACACACTCTGACAGACACTCACATGCAACACTTTGACAGACACTCACATGCAACACTCATACAATCACTCAGACGCAACACTCATACAATCACTCAGACGCAACACTCACAGACGCACACTCACAGACGCACACTCTCAGACACACATCACATATACTCACTAATTATTTTAATATACACTTTTTTTCCACCCAGCCTCGCTACCTGGAGAGCTGGTGTGGATGATGAATCATTCCCTGGGGTCCAGTGGGGCTGCTGGGCGGCGTGCGGCAGTGGTGTGATCAGACGCGACGAGGGAGCTCTAATCTCCACGCTCTGCTCCCTCGCGGACTTCTACTGATGCCGCGGGAGCCGGAATATGATGTCATTCTGGCTCCCGCGGCATCAGCAGACAGCACGCGAGTGAGCAGAGCGTGGAGATTAGAGCTCCCTCGCCGCGTCTGATCACACCACTGCCGCACGCCGCGCCGGGGGTCCAGAAGGTGGCCTGGCAGGAGGGAGATCTTCCCTCCTGCCGGTCACTGAAATCTTGCGCCCTCAGAGCCGGTGCGCCCTAAGGCGGCCGCCTGTGCCGCCTTGTGGACGCGCCGGCCCTGTCTACACACACGCAATCCCACAAGCAAGCTCCAAACACATGCACAATACTCTTTCCTGGTGCTTTTGTCTCCTGGTATCCGATTTATAGAGACACCAGAGACAAGTTGCAAGGAAACACAGTGCAAGCATGTTATTACATTTGCTTGCACTGTGCAGAACAAATACAGGGCTTTTTTCTCATGCTAGAGCTCTGCAGCAGAGCACTGTGCCTGGTCTGCCCTGGAAGAGCATTTACCCAACATGCTCACTTTGAGAGGGGTGTGCTTGTCACGCCCCCTTAGTGGGCTGCTGTGATAAAAAAATGCCCGGGCCGAATTTTTTTCCCAGTCCGGCGCTGGTGTCTGTATTATTGATTTTTGCTTGCTACAGAAAATACATGTAATTCCTTCTTAATTAGTTGTATCACAATTATTATTGTTATAGACATCTATGTATAACTATTTACTGTCAAAGCACCTTAGATTAGGATGAGGCAGAGACATTCTAAACAGCCATGCAAAATTAAAAAAAGGGCTGTAAAAGGGGGACAGTCCCCAAGCCATACTTAAATGAGACCCCTAAACATTATGTACAAAGAAATGTAGGGGATTCTTATGTGGACCCTTTTTTAAAATAATCTAGCACTGAGAGGATGCAAGGCTGTAATATTTTTCCCAGAAAAGGAGGCTTGGACCCAGAGCATGTTTTAATGATAGAAGCAGGGCCGGACTGGCCCACCAGGATACTGGGAAATTTCCCGGTGGGACGCGGCATCTAGGGGCTGCGCATATAGGTGCCACCGGGTGGCCTGTCCGCGTTCCAGGCTGGAGCCGCCGGGCCGGGTGGCAGCCTCACTGGTCCGGCGGCACTCCTGTCACTGATGCTGAAGGAGGAGGGAGCATGTCTATCTACCATGCTCCCTCGCGGGTCCCACAATTCCCAGCACAGGATACTGATACACTGATTTTGCTGGGAATTGTGGGAACCACGAGGGAGCATGGTAGACATGCTCCTCCTCCTTCAGCCCTAAGCATCAGTGACAGGAGTGCCGCCGGATCGGCGAGGCTGCCACCTGGCCCGGCAGCTCCAGCCTGGAACGCGGCCGGCCCACTGACTTCTCTCGGTAAATGGGGGGAGGGGGAGAAAGGGAATATATAGACACAGGTATAAGTGGGAGAAAGAGACATGGGGGAGAGAGAGTGACACAGGGAATAGAGGGAGAAAGAGAAGGGGGGAGAGAGAGTGACACAGGGAAAAGAGGGAGAAAGAGACAGAGGGGGAGAGAGAGTGATACAGGGAAAAGAGGGAGAAAGAGACAGAGGGAGAGAGAGTGACACAGGGAAAATAGGGAAAAGAGACAGAGGGGGGAGAGAGAGTGACACAGGGAAAAGAGGGAGAAAGAGACAGAAGGGGAGAGAGAGTGACACAGGGAAAAGAGGGCGAAAGAGACAAAGGGGGGGAAGAGAGTGACACAGGGAAAAGAGGGAGAAAGAGACAGGGGAGAGAGAGAGTGACACAGGGAAAAGAGGGAGAAAGAGACAGAGGGGGAAAGAGAGTGACACAGGGAAAAAAGTGAGAAAGAGACAGGGGGAGAGAGAGTGACACAGGGAAAAGAGGGAGAAAGAGACAGAGGGGGAAGAGTGAGACACGGGGGAGAAAGAGGGTGAATAGAGAGATGGTGGAGGGAGGAGAAAGAGACAGAGGGGAAGAGAGACACAGGGAAAGGGGGGAGAAAGAGAGAGAGGGGAAGAGAGATGTGGAGGAGGGAGAGACACAGGGAAAGGGGGAGGAAGAGAGATGTGGAGGAGGGAGAGACACAGGGAAAGGGGGGAGAAAGAGACAGAGGGGAAGAGAGAGCCAAAGAGGGAGAAAGGAGAGAGACATACAAGGGGAGGGGGAGAAGGAGGCAGAGGGGGAAGAGAGAGACTGGGAAGGAGAGGGGAGACATTGACACAGAGGAGCAGTGAGGGGGAGAAATAAACATACAGGGGGACTGGGGGGAGACAAAACGGCACACAGAGGGGCTGGAGATAAAAAGAGACACACATAGGGGCTGTATATATCAATGGTGGATGGGGGGCAACAAGGCAATTCTCCCCCCTCCACGAGGCTCTCCCCTGCCGGTCGATCTCCCTCCCCATTCCACAGGCACTGTGCAGGCAGCCGACAGAGGAAGGAGGAAGAGAGGACCCGGGAGCTCAGCCTGCAGCTCCTCTGGGTCCTTCTCGCGCGAGCACAGTGTGTTGCCACGGTTACCACGGCAACGCTCCAGCTCTCACGAGGGTAAACTCTAGCCCTGGAGCTACGGCTAGAGTTCACTCTCACCACTGCGACCACCAGAGATTCCTGGTGGTCACAGTAGTGAGAGTGAAGTCTAGCCCCATACACACACTGCCCCCACAAGCACACACCATACACATTCACACACTGCCCCCACACACACCATAAACATTCACACACTGCCCCCCCATACACACATTGCCCCACACACGCTACACATTCACACACTAGAAAAATAAAGGATAGTTGGCCAAAAAGTCCAAGGGAACAGAACAGGGGGTAACCCTTATAGAATTGGTAGCAAAGAAAAAGAAAAAGAAAATCTGTCCCTGAAAAAAAAAATAAAAAAAAAAATATATATATATATATATATATATATATATATATATATAAAAAATAACAGTCAAAAAATATATATACTTTATTGAAAAGAAAAGACTCACATAAACTTTGCAAAGAAAACCCTAACAGTAGCTACCTAACTCAATATAGTGAGTTAATAACAGTAGTCTACATAAGGAACACAAATAGAGGTACAGGGAAGTGAGATATGACACACAAAAGTGAACAAATAAATTAAATAAACTAAGCTGGTTTAATTAGATATGTACATGAATATCTAGCTAAATAGCTTTAATCATAAGGTCAGCCGGAACTCAGTATATAATTATAAGGTATATAAAGAGAGAATAAATGGCACAAAGTATCGATATAACACTGTGGCGAAACCGACCTCGCCACTGGGCATTGGAGAAGACTAATTGCTCGCCTCCTGCCATGTGACTATGGCCCCTGGGATGTATTGCCCTTTAAAGACACGATTTGGGCATAATGAATTTGTGCTGTGCTGCTGCTGGCCCTTTAAGAACCATCTGGGGACATACTGTGGAGTTACTGGATGGCCACCATTTCATGTATCAGAGGCACATGGTGAGAACAATGGATGAAGCACATGGTGAGAACAATGGATGGCGGCCATTTTAACTCACAGACACTGTGTGGACTTTTCTACACGGTGCCATCTCACCGGTATTTGGTGCACAGAGACATCGTGCAGTGGTTTTGGACTATACAACAGGGGACACATTATACAGTAATTGTTTTTAATATAGCCTGTATATGTTCTGCGGAATCTGCATTAAACTGTATCTTCCAAACTACTGAACGGATCTGGGTGAATTTTGGATATGGTTCACCCAGATCCCCCGGTTCTGAAGATATACTTTTTATGGGGTTATTGCATGTTTTGGGGTCCCTGTCATGGGTTTTATGATACTGTATTTCTCTGCCTGTCATAATTATATTAACCACTGTGTTCAACAATCATATCACAGGCAGAGGGGAGGATTTTGTGTGGGAGTGTCTGTGTGTATTGTAAGGATTGATTGGTTGTATTTCAAAACCCTGTGGGCAGTACTATGTTTGTGGATTGTGAATAAAAGAGGCTGTATGTGCCAGTACAGTCAGTTCTGCTTGACCTCAAAATGAAGTGTCGTCTCATTATTGGGGGAATTGGATTGTATGTTGATTGCCAGGAGTGTAAGCTGATTGTATGCTTTTCCTGTTCAGCTGCTTACAGCATTCAAATGCTTGAGAGCATTCATATGCTTCTCCGGTTCGGTGGTTGTGGTGTCTGCTGCAGTGCTTGGAATCCTCAGGAAGCGCTAGGAGCATCCTTCAACGGAGGTACCCAGTCGGGGTACCAGGTGATCCGTTACAAACACCTTAAGAGGTAACTACAATATAAATATCAATGCAACAATGTTTTAGAAATGTATCTAAAACTCAGTAATGTAGTTCTTTGTGTATTTCACGCAGCTGTCAAATAATAATGTATTTCAAAAGTGCATGAAATATATGCAACGGTATAATAAGATCGTACGCTCAAATACTTTACCTAAAGGTAATCAGCCACAAGATTCAACTATAGGAATCACCTACTAATTGCCAGGAAACTTGATATATCACACACTACTACTATCAGCACTCAAGCTCGAAATAGGAGCTAACCCAGCTGCCTAATAGTGATAGGATTAATAATACGTGCAGATAAATGATCATTATTGATTCCAATATTGTTGAATGGGTAAGGCAGTGGCTGAGTGACAGGCAACAGAGGGTTGTAGTCAATGGAATATATTCGAAGCTTGGACTTGTCACCAGTGAGGTACCTCAGGGATCTGTACTTAGACCCATTCTCTTTAATATTTTTATTAGTTATATTGCAGAATGTCTTGATGGTAAGGTATGTCTTTTTGCTGATGATACTAAGATATGTAACAGGGTTGATGTTCCAGGAGGGATAAGCCAAATGGCAAATGATTTAGGTAAACTAGAAAAATGGTCAGAATTGTGGCAACTGACATTTAATGTGGATAAGTGCAAGATAATGCATCTTGGACGTAAAAACCCAAGGGTAGAGTACAGAATATTTGATAGAGTCCTAACCTCAACATCTGAGGAAAGGGATTTAGGGGTGATTATTTCTGATGACTTAAAGGTAGGCAGACAATGTAATAGAGCAGCAGGAAATGCTAGCAGAATGCTTGGTTGTATAGGGAGAGGTATAAGCAGTAGAAAGAGGGAAGTGCTCATGCCATTGTACAGAACACTGGTGAGACCTCACTTGGAGTATTGTACACAGTACTGGAGACCGTATCTTCAGAAGGATATTGATACCTTAGAGAGGGTTCAGAGAAGGGCTACTAAACTGGTTCATGGATTGCGGGATAAAACTTACCAGGAAAGGTTAAAGGATCTTAACATGTATAGCTTTGAGGAAAGACGAGACAGGGGGGATATGATAGAAACATTTAAATATATAAAGGGAATGAACACAGTAAAGGAGGAGACTATATTTAAAAGAAGAAAAACTACCACAACAAGAGGACATAGTCTTAAATTAGAGGGACAAAGGTTTAAAAATAATATCAGGAAGTATTACTTTACTGAGAGCGTAGTGGATGCATGGAATAGCCTTCCAGCTGAAGTGGTAGAGGTTAACACAGTAAAGGAGTTTAAGCATGCGTGGGATAGGCATAAGGCTATCCTAACTATAAAATAAGACCAGGGACTAATTGGGCAGACTAGATGGGCCGAATGGTTCTTATCTGCCGTCACATTCTATGTTTCTATGTTTCTATTAAGCTGCAAACTAGCTAGTCTTATTCAATCAAATAACGGGAACTGAAGTTGGCAATACCAGTAACCCATATATATAATGAATCGCAGTAAAGCTACTAAAACTGGAGAAAGAGAATAAGGTAGATAAAATAGTGCCTTCATGGGCACCTGCTATAGCAAAGAATTGTGGAAAGAAGGTTTAGATCAAATAACTATGTGAAGAGTAAAGTTATAGTGTCAGAGTCCTGCAAGTTTCAATTAGTTATGAAAAGGATACCTTGATCGGTATCGAATTTTCCTGTTCCACTCAGGCAGCTGTCAACCGTCAAGATTATAACGGTCCCAAAGGGCTGTATGATATAGCCAATGATATATGATATAGCCAATTGTAATTATATTAACAGGGAGAAAAAGGAAGAGGATGGTACCAAAGGAACAGGAATGGCGATAAATATCGGGTAAGTGTCAATCCCGACACACGTTTTGCCTGAGTTAGAGGCCCATCAGGGGGAGATGAGCACACTACCCCCACACACACACACTAAACCTTTCACACACTCTGCACCCCTCACACACTGCACCACTGCTCCTATACCCTACTACAG